AAATAAATGAGCAAATGTATCAATATATACAAAATAGAGATGAAGATATGGAAAATAGAGAGGCAGGAAGGAGGAAATAAGGAGAAAACTAAGATAAGATAAACGAATCCGATAGAACGAAATGCTTGGAGAGATATATTTTCTCAGCCCTGATGAAGGTCTGGATTTCGGGCTGAAACGTCGGCAAATGTAAAAATAAATGTTATTATTTATTTTGACTTATCGCCTCACCATCCTTCTCATCAATTATTCCCTACAGTCAACTATCGACTCACAATTATATATATGACTCAGATCCTGAAACGGCATCCTTAAACCTAAAAAGACACATCTCCCTAATTGAGCAATGGTGCAACAATTGGCGCATTAAGATAAATGAATCCAAATGCAAGCATGTCACCTTTACCCTCCGATGCAGATCCTTCCACATATCCTTTTCAACTCTGTACCTCTCCCCGTCTCAGACACAGTTCGGTATCTTGGATTCCTTTTAGACAAAAGACTAACTTGGAACCCACATACCAGACTTAAAAGACAAGAACTTAACCGACGATTTGGCCAGCTATACAGACTACTTAATAAAAAATCCAATCTCTCAATAGAAAACAAACTATTAATATACAAGACCATACTCAAACCCATCTGGACCTACGGACTTAAACTGTGGGGGACAACTAAATTTTCGAACATCAAACGCATCCAATCCTTTCAGTCTAAAATCCTCCGTATAATAGTCAATGCTCCTTATTATGTTACAAACAAAACCCTACATCATGACCTTTACATCCCTTATGTCCTTGACGTTATTCCATCTCGATTCTCAAATTTTCATCTGAACCTAATCCACCATCCTAACTCCTTAGCACAATCCTTATCCAGCTCCAGTCACCCCTACAACCCTCCTCGAAGGTTGAAACGGCAGTGGCCTCGAGACCTTTTGTAAAGACTGTCACTGGAGTTCTGGCAATGGCCAGCCTCTCCACTCACGTCATGATCGTCTGTTGCTTTAGTGCCCTCTCTGTTTCCAATGGACTCCTGCCGGTTACGCGGCTGAGAGAGAAGCGCTGGAATCTCTTAGAGTCTCGCTTTGTCCTTCACACGTGGAGGAAAGCGCTGGACTCGGAGCTCCCTTGGCTGATTGTAAATAATGTAAATTAAGTACGAATGCTTTTCTTTTTATATATTTATTTGTTTTACTTATGACTTATTTAATTTGCTACTAATATCTGTATTTTTTATTATTATTTTTTTTTAATTTGATTTCAAGTTACATTTCTTTAGTTTTATAGTTTTTACCTTTGTTATATAGATATATATTTTTATTTTTTATTTATTTATTTTTATTTATTTTATTTTTATTGCATTGTATATATAGTATGAATGGGCCTCACTCAGCTTTAGTACTCAGTGCCCTTAAATGTGGCAAAATGTATTATTTCTCAATAAAAAGATTTAAAAAAAAATTATATATATGACAGTTGTCCATAACAAAAACAGTTTTCTCTTGAGTCAATTCCAATATAATTCTTATAATATAAGTTTGTTCCTGGTCTTTACATATAATGACTGAAAAAAATATTTCTCCACTAAAAATGTTTTATGATTTTTATAATCCTGTGTTGTTAAAAATAATCTCAAAAAGTTGTATTAAATTTAGTTCAGTAGCTCAAAGATAAAACCTTCATGTTTCGAGTCAGTTTCAGTGAAAAAAACTGTTACCATTCAAAACAATTGCAATCAGTTGACACACTTGAGTGGATTTTTTTTAAACGTTTCTTTGAATAGTTAATGATCATAAACTAATAAAGAAAAATAAACGAAAACAAAATATATCTACCTCTAGAACGAAGTTATTGGTTTGAAAATACTGTAATTTGGTGAAGTACTTTGATGGATTATTCACAACTAGAATAATCGTGTGCACATTACCTCTAGCATGGTAAATTTTGCATGAATATTCAACAAATGTCATTTCCCAAACACTTTCTCCACCTCACTTATTCCCTTGTCACTGCCAATACAAAAATAAGAGTATTTTCATGGTTCATAAAATCCATTCATGATAATTAAATATGATTATGTGAGCATAATTATTTGTTCTAAAAGAACATACTTAAAACGGATCCAATTCGAAACTACATTTTTTTAAAAAAATAAAACGATTAAAGGCGAGATAAATTATTACATTCAAAGAATTTACTCAGAATTCCAAAAGTCAGGATAATATTGCTGCTAAAATGCTAAGGGATAAGGGGATTCTTCATTAAATATAATCTAGAATTTCACCTTTTGAAGTAGGTTTAATACGGCTCTACACCTTTGAAGTGGCTGGAATTAATTTCAAATTCCATCTATTATTGTCACTAAACTAAGTTTCCTTGAAACAAATATAACATACCATCCTAATATACTTTGAATTAATACAGAGAATTTATAAGTATGAACAATTCTCACCTTTCATTAAAACGTATTCATGAAAAAACATTTTTATCATGAATATATATTCATGAGACTTTTTTCATTCCTTTTTACTTTTATTTAATATTTTATTTTCCAATAGAGTTTCAATATTTTTAAATATTTTATTATGAATCAATAATTATAATAATAAAGAGATCGCTTGTTACACCGATTACATTTACAGTTCTACCGAGGTTTGAAGATAAGTTTAAGTTCATTCTTAATTTCTGGTTAGTCTAAAACTACTCTGTTTATTTCATCTGCTATGTATTAAACATGTCAAATGAGGTTTTGAGAAATGAAGTGTTGAAAACAAGTTGTAATATCCTGACACCAAACACATCATGTACACCTCCATGGAAACTGCAAGGACTAACCTATACCTGGCTCGAAGGAAGGCTCAGAGTAAAAACTAGTGACGGACTAAGTAACTGGTTCCTTTTAGGATGTTATCAGTTATTGTGAAGTAATAGGGTGAAGTTAAGAACCAATGAAAACCATTCTTGCCCCACCCTGAAAAGTTTGTATAAAATCTACCGAAAAGTAAGAAAAGAGGTCTTATGTTGATTTCTGGCCTGGAGGATAGGTCTCATGTTTTCTTCCGCCTTGGGCCCTGAAGCCTTGGCCTGACATAGACCACACAGATGGGCGTCTTGGAGAAGTTTTTGGACTTGGCCTTGAAAAGATGACCTCGGATCAGCGGATGCAGCAATGAAATCTACCAACCACACCACTTCATAGACAATAGATAAGTTGTAATTTCCAACCCTAATGTTATAATCTTTCATGTCTAAAATTCTCAAAACAGTCCATCTGAAATCATCCCTTCACATATCATGCCTATGCATATGCCATAAATAATTATTAAATTTAGTGAATAACGTATTTTGTTCTTCTAAATATAATTTGTATATATTCTTTGTTAAGCACAGAAATAAATTAAGTTTTTAGTAAAAGTTATTTTAATCATGCCACTTATTTATATCACGATGATCATAGGCAATCATAAATCCAATTAATTAATCCTGGACCAGTCAATATATTATAGATACAAATTTATTTTACTAATTTTTATTAAACATTTCTGGATAATTATTCTTAATAATTATGCAGTGGCATCCCGAAAAAATTTTAAACACTCCAAAACATAATATTTCACAACACTGCACATCACAGGCGGATCTACTGGGGAGGAGAGAGAAGTTGGGTTGAAGCCCCCCAAAATGGTAAAATATAAACATGTTTTACAGAAAAAAATATTAAAAACTATCTCTTAAAGTATTCTTGTTCCTGTAATTACATTTAATAGGACTTCAAGAACCACTTAAAAACCATTCAATATAGATAGTTAATTTCTTTCTTTTTTAAAAAAAATTAATTATCGTTATATGTTTATGAAAAAAAAATGTTTGAGGCTGAAGCTCTTTCCCCTCCCCCAAATTAAATCCTAGATCCGCTAGTGCTACATATACTATATTTTAGCACTTCCAAGCGCTGTAGAAAAAAAATTTCTTAAATTAAATAAATATAAATAAATGTTCGAACCTGATGGAAGTAATAAAGAAATCAGCTAATGGGATCCGAACGTGAAAGCGTTCAATGATGAAATATTGCCTCTTGTTGTTAATGGATGGGATTAGATTAAAGAAAAACAGTTAATTTCTTCACAAATAAAAAAAAAACCTATTCAAATTATTATATCATAACATTTTAATTAAAATTTACACTTAGATATATACAGTTATTTAAATTGTAATATACTATGTTTAATTTGTTAATGATGCATAATGATTATTTACATTATTTGTATCTGTTTTAAAATTAACAGCCTTTTTAATTATTTGGGGTTTGAACCTACAATATATTTTTTAATGTCTACTATATTCTTCTGTTTTCAACATTGTTTTCTTTTTCTAATACTCCATGATCATTAAAATAGAAATAATCATCAACATTGACATATTTACAATAATTTTTATGTTGAAGGATTCTAATACATTTTTTCTCTCCTTTTTTTTTTTTTTTTTAAGTTTCACTACATGAACACTTATAAAAGGAACTAAATTTTACGAATGCAGTGAATTTATTCACAAATAACAGAAAATCAATAGAAAGTTAAACATACCAACTCCGTTTTCACGTTCATTAAAAATGTTGTGGCACTCATATATATTTTTCATTTTGGTTTCAAGTTTACATTGGTAGTTTTTTTTAAGGCAGTAACGCAAAACAATAAAATAATAAATTGAAGCATCCATTATTAAATATATATTTTATGAAGTTTTTATCCTAAAATAATCCACGCTCAAGATAATTAAAGTAGTTTAAAAAAAAAGAATTATGACGAGTCCATTGTGATATCGGTATAATTAAAACATATTCATAAAAGACGTACTCACCACATTAGGTTTCGAAGACTTAATAACATTTGTCAAAATAGTACTCACCTGAAACAGAAAAAAAAGTATAAACACAAGGTTCTATATCGAAGCGCATAAAAATAGTAAGAATGAACTGTAGTAAATACACAAAAGTTAAACCTCAAGTAATAATTAAAGGCAAAACACATGACGAATATAGTCTAGAACAGTAACATCCTCATTTGATAGTCGCAATGTAAATCCTGTCAAAATGTTTTTTGTTTTATAAATTATGTAACGATAGTGTCAGCTTATCTACTGATTACCAATTATATAATTGATAGGCGTGGTCTCAGAAATAAAAATAATTATCCATTGTGTCCAGTCAAACTTTCCTTAAAGCTTTGGATGCAAAGTATAATACAGTTATTTTGATTGTTGTGTTTTCACTAATATCGGTCCGATTCATATGATGTTTCTTTCATTTCCTAGGAAATTTAATTATCCTTCAAGTGATTAAATGTAATGTATATATCTTTTATTAAATGTATATTTTTGAGTAATGTCCAAGTAAAATTCAGTTCTCATTATAATATTTATACTTTTCTTTTTTTAAAGATGCTTGTATGGTTTTAAGTAAAATATTCTAAGGTAGATTCATCAGAATCGTTAGAGTTGTTTTGGTGTTACAATGTTAAAAAAATCTGGCGTGTCCACTCACACGACTTTCCTACCTATTTCAGAAAAGTTTTTATATCTTTACATATGTTCATGAAGAAACAAAAAAGAATTGTTTCTTTTTTTAAAAATTAACTAAATTTCTTTTCCTGAAAATTAAACAAACAAAAGATTTGAGTACGATTTATTTGATAAATTAAGGCAATGAAACCAGCTTAAGGTAGATCAGTGTAAAAAATTCAATATTCACTAATATTGCTGATCAAAAACTTTTTGTCATAGCTTAGTATTGTCAAACAATAATTTCTGTTAAAAGTAGAGGAAATAGTGAAGGTTGTGTGATGCGGGCAACAGAATTTCTTAATTTCACTTAGTCATCTTTATTCTCTTATTCACCCCTTTCTGACACCAGGAAATGAACTCGTAATCTTTCATTGGGAACTGAATCGCTGTAACTTCGTTAATAACTGTCCAAAATAAACGATTTTTATATGGCTCTGTAGGGAATTTAATTACCTTTCAAACGATAGGCTAAACGGCGTGATCAGAACATTATAGAAAAGTTTCATCAAAATCGTTAGACCCGTTTTCGCGCTACGTCCATAGAAAAACATGTTTTACATCTGTTGCTCGCAAGCTATTGCGCATGGAGCACCGAATTTCTGTCACAGGTATCAGTAGTCAAAAACCTCAAAAATAAAAAAAGAAGCAACAAAATCGGTTCAGTAGTTCCCGAGAAAATCTTGGCACATACAGACCAATGGCTAAAAATGTGTTTTTCGGACTCAGGGGGCTCTGAAACGTATAGATCCGTCGAAAACCGCATGTCGAAAATTTGACCCAATTGCAATACTTTCCTTACCTACTATAGGTAGGAAAGTAATAAAATAAGTTAAATAAATGTGAAAAAAATAGAATAAGCTGTATCATCGCTAATACTGGTTCGATTCCGATGAGTTTTTTTTTGTTTTGTTGGTAATGTAATTACCTTTCAAAAGTTTTATTATAAATTTCACCATATAATATATACTTAGGGAGTTAGGCCCCATAACATTTTTCTTTTCCTTATAACTTTTTTTCCTGAATGTTTTGGGGAATTTAGTTTATAAACGAAAGTTGAAAGAACAGTGATTAGAACATTACAGGAAAGTTTTATCAAAACCGATAGAGCCGTTTTTGCGCTACAGTCGATAGAAAAACGTGTTTTTCATTTATTGCGCGCAAGCTGTTGCGCATGGAGCAATGAATTCCTGTCACAGCCATCAGTAGTTGAAACCCTACAAAATAAAAAAAGAAGCAACAAAATCGGTTCAGTAGTTCCAGAGAAAATCTTGACACAGACAGACAGACAGACCAATGGCTAAAAATGTGTTTTTCGGACTCAGGAGGCTGTGAAACGTATAGATCCGTCGAAATCCGTATGTCGAAAATTTGACCCGATTGCAATACTTTCCTTACTTAGTATAGGTAGGAAAGTAAAAAGAAAGTTATCGAATAATTTTCAATATTTTTGTTTCTGTCGAATGGATTTAAAGAATCAGAAACTATGTGCCAATATTATTACTTATTATACTAATTTCCTAGTATTTGTTATTATTTTTTTCATTTTTAAAAAGGATATTAAATTAAAAATTATGTCAGAATTTTATTTATATAATTTTCTGTGATACAAAACTAATAATCGAATAATATGTCTCAAGGTTAGTCAGAACAATATTATAATGTCTTAGTCCATTAGAAAAAAAATTGAACGATGATTTTTTTAAAAAAATGATAGAGTAACTGGTTCAAGAAACAAATGGAAAATGATGTGCTCAAAAATATATGTATTTTTATTAAACAATCTTTTTTACAATGATCCGTCCCTTGACATTTTCTTAAAATTTAAAGTGACAGTGATTGTATATCCATGTTATATACAACAGCAACTTCTTTTGTTTCCCAATTATTAAGAACTATACAAAAATCCCCTCGATCAACATCTTCAAATCATAACGTTCGGTTAATAGCGTATGATTTATAATGGAAGAGTAATAAGGAAATGGGAGAGAATGATAAAGTGGATGCTGTACTGGATGTATGGGAAAATAAGATTCGTAGCGGTTTTATGTAGAAATTAAGGCGAAGCATTTGCATAGGGTCACAGTCGTGGAAATTAGGCTGCCGATTGGCCGTATGGTATAGGCGTTGAATAAATAAAAAACGAAAATGATTACTAATGCTTAAATAAGGGTTATTAATAATCATCTATGCTCTAAATCGGGATGGAGACCCAAAAGATGTCAGAATCGTTATCATATTGATTTTTTAGCACTGATCTCAGTAGTTGGCACCGTGGGATAGCCTGATTGTAGAGAAACCTCTAAAACGGTGGATACTCGGAGGAAATATGCTAACAGTGGACTGGACCACCCAATTGTAAATGAAGACCCGCAGGAATCTGCGGTAAACCTGGTATGCGGTGTACTAGCATTCAGAGGGTACCCTGAGCTCTTCAAGAGTCTGGACCAACAACATTAATGAGCTTTGAACAATTTAAACTCTCTCGAATAGCTTCGAGATTAGCAACCAGAATACCTGCTCCTTAAAAACTACTTCGTGAACCGGATCCCTGACAATGGCCTTCCCGATCGAAATAAAAATATGGTGATGTATTCGTGATATTGCAATGCTAAGATTGAAAAGGAAATGCATAAGTGATCTCCTGAAGCGACAACATCGGTAAATGATGGAAGAATGTACCGCAGGTGTCTCTCTCCTCATTATCATTATTTGTACATTCCCTAGCTATAAGCTAACAGAATTTCAAAAAGAGAAATAAAAACAATTAATTCTTTCAAATGAGTAGAAACATTTGCACGAAAGTGAAGTAACCATTTTTATTGAAAAACATTCCTTAAGAAGAAAAACTTGATTGTTTTATCAATTGTATTAATCGTTTGGATCTGGCAGATTTAAAAGGAAGGTAACGGTTGTCACAACCATGTTAATGAAATTGTTCCTATTATTATGGAAAGTTATGCCACAAAAACTTTATTTAACTACGATTTCTGAAAAAAACTGTTGCCATCATGTCATTTACACTGCCCTACAAAAAATTTTTTTTTGCATGGATCTTCGATGACAACTGTTTCTCTTGACTAATGTTTATGTTCAAATTAAATTTACGGTTTAAATTAAGAATTTTCAGTCAAGATCCCTTATATTAGCTACCTTTCTGCAGATAAATATGCCCACTATAGAATACAAACAAATAAGTTATTGGAAGTCATACGATCATTTTTTAGGCTTTAAAAGTTCTTTATTATTTGTGAAATACTTTTACGACCCACAAAACATTAAATTACAACTTCTCTCGACAAGAACAGCGATGTTTTACAGCTGCAAATATATAAGGTGTATGTCCAGATGGATTTAAGTGGGTGTTTGTGCTTAGTTTTTGTATGATTTTCAATTTAGATTTGAAAACAAGAAAGTACAATATTCAGAAAAAAGTGTTTTTTGTTCATTTCAGCATGTGGGAATTAAGTCACCCTGCTATCGAATATTAGTCGAAGGTAACTTATCCGTCTGAAGAATTTGGCTGTCGCCGATACAATAGGTGTCTCGACGAAGTGTAGCAATTTTTTACTTTCAATTACATATACACATTTCACCAATTATTAACTCCAATTTCAACATTCTTTATTATTAATGTTAGTGATGTTTCTAGTGGCAACATGTATACCTTTATTCACAGTTCTATATTTCAACACTGCAATCACCTACTCTGAAATCAACTTACTCACTGTCTGTAAAGATATAACTTTTCCAACTAGAAATATCACCAAAATGACATCACTCAAAAATTTTGAAATTGGAGTTAGTCATTCTGTCAACTATAAGGCTCAGAGACTAAAGTTGTGTGGTTTATAAAATCAGATGGAGAAACTATATTTTTATTGCCTACCGTCGATGTAATAAATGGACTTTTTGTAATTTTAATGGTCTTAACGATTTGTTATCTGTAAGCTTTAAGCTTTATATCCGTTTAAAATGCACTTCAACAATTTTATAATAGCTTGACATTGGCAAAATTAATTTCTATTCAAATTAGAGCGGTAAGTTGCGCGCATCAGATTTTTTATTATATTTAGTGATTTTGTAAGGTTAGTGAGACGAAATGTTATTGATCAAAATATTATTCAAAACGAAATTTATAAATAAGTTCATTTTGAATTAGCAAAGATACTGTGATGCATCTTAATTTTAGAAATGAACAAACATTTCTTATTATTTTACAAATTGTCCGAAGTTAGTGGAAATTAAAATAGTTTAAAATAATAGTTGCATGAAAATTTATAAGGGTAAGACAATTATTTGGATTTTGGAATCTCATAGAACACTCAAATATGAAGGTACCCCCACATAAATAGATGTAATAATGGTATACATATAATGGTCGAATACATATCTAATATTAAATTTGGGCTTTAGAGTTATATTACTTTTTTTTTTTACATATTTTAATTATAAGGCATAGATGGTTTCTAAATATATATTTATTACGGCTAATGAGTTTAATTTCACTGTTCCTTACCCACGGATGAT